TGTGTGTGTGTGTGTGTGTGTGTGTGTGTGTGTGTGTGTGTGTGTGTGTAGGGGGGAGTCTTAAAAGTAAAAATATTGATTAGTTAATAAAGTTTTCCCAAAAGCAAGCAGAAAACAAACAAACAAAAAAATGATCCCTTTTAACCAGAATTTGTTGTTTTCAGTATATAACATACTCTTCTAGAGTGCTGCCTTGGCTTTATTCACATGAAGAGTGTTTTAAAAAAAAAAAAAAAAAAAAAAAGAGGATGAGATCTTAGAATCTATAAAAATGTACTTGGCTGTCAGTGTTAGTTTTGATGAACTTCGACTTGAAATTTCATAATACCTGTTGAATATGCCTCAAATCCTCTTGCCTATCCTTCTGGTTCACAATTCACCTTTGAGGCAGATAAATGGAGCCAATTTTATTTGCTATTTTGGAAAACCAAGACACCAGAGCTTCTCATTCTCAATTTCCAATCTTCTCAAAAGTCTTCAAAAAGTTCTGTTCTACTCCAAAGACACACTGCAATTTTGCAGAAGTCAGTGCAGCCATTAGGTAAATTAAGGTAGATGCTGCAAGGCCATTGGTTGTTAGCAGTACCTCCAGTTGCTCAATAGTGAAGCTGTGTGCATTTTCCAAACAGAACCGACCAGGGCAGACAGAGTACAGTTCAAGTTTTCAAAATGCTCTAAGTTTGCTTTTTTAAAAATAAAGACCTTTAAATAACCCAAGTAAAGTGCCTTCCATTTTTGATTGCTGTTTCCTAAGTTATTTTTCCATGGAGAATTTTTTTTGTGGGGGTCCAGGGTATCATGTTGGCATCAAAACCATGTTCTGTTTTTATGTAGATCTCAGAGAATGTCTTAACAGTAGTGTCTACTCATCTACTGGCTCCTCTGGTAACTGTCAACATAAGTTACTTGATTTTTAGTTACTGCCTGACATGATTCTGAGTACAGACTAGTTGCAACTGGAACTAGAATTTCTAAAAAGTGAAACTGTGTGTTGGTTAAATCATCTGATGAACTGGTAATTGACTTGTGTGTTTTGAATATAACATTTACAATATTATAGTTAATCTATATCTTTGTTTTTGTTTAATTTGGCAAGATTCATACATAGAGACCAATATAAAATTGGATTATAGGCAAAGGGTGGAGACAGCACTAAGGCTGTATTTTTATTATATTCAGAGTGATCCTTTGTATTATGAAGGAAAATGCTTATGATCATCTTTGTTTACTGTCAGTTGAATACAGGGTGGTTCTTTATTCTAAGTTGTTTATCTGAAAATAACGGTGAAATGAATGTGAAGTATAGAGACTAATTCTGAAGTTATTTTCTTTGCAGAGTCTTGCAAAGGACCATCGAATGAAACTTATGCAACAGCAGCAGGAAGTGGCTGGACTTTCTAAGCAGTTAGAGCACGTCATGCATTTTTCTAAATGGGCTGTTTCTAGTGGCAGCAGCACAGCATTGCTTTACAGCAAGCGACTGGTAAGATGGAATACCGGGTTTAAGTCAGCAGTGTGTAGAGTGAGGCAAGAGTCGAGTGCTTCACATTCAAAACTATACCTGCCCTTCCCTTGTTCATGGTCAGCCTGGGTAGTAGAGCAAGAGACTGTCAGAAAAAGAAAAGGCCTGGATGTGGTGGTGCCTGCCTTAACCACAGTACTAGGGAGGTTAGGCAGGCCCCCTGAGCAGGAAGCCACCTGTAGCGGTCTATTTTAAAACAACTTTATTTAGAGTGTTTAGACCTCTGTCTCCCTTCCATTAACCTCCCTATAAAGTAGGAGAAAGAAGAGGTTAGTGGGGAGAAGGGCTCAGACCCCTCACATCATCTGGCTAGCTACAGTCAAAGGACTCTATACCAATTTCTGTCAGCTGCAGTCACAGCTAGCAGTCTCCTCCACACCACTGCACCCCGAAGCGTTTCTTTCTGTCTACTCCAAACTGCCACACTGTCTTTGGTCTCTGTTCTCTCAAAACTGCGACATGCCAACACAGAACACCACGTGGTCTCTTTCTCAGCCTCATATTTATACTCTCAGAGTCCTAGACCACACCCTTCTCTGTGCCACCCAGTGGAATTTACCAGCTGACAAAAGCCCCTCATGTGACAATTAACAGGTGTGGAGAAACGATAGCCCAACTAAAGTCCCACACTTGGGATTAAAACAAAAGCATATTTTCATAACATACAAAGACACCAAAACTTGCATTATGCCACCTTGATCTACATAGTGCAGTCCAAACTTACCAGGGCTGCAGAGTGAAACTTCTCTCCCAACAGGCCGACACCCTCACCTCCCTCCCCCTGAAAAAGCAGCAAAACAAAACACAGAGATGGACTATCGATTCATTCTTAATATTTTTAAATCAATTGACCAAATATTTGATTTTATAAAATATTTTTGCCTGAAATGATTTTGATGTAACTTCAGTTTTAATCTGTTTTATCACTCCTATTTGTATTTTTGTATTTTTTTCTCTCTTTGTGGCAAATAAGTCCAGTATAATAAACACCTACACTATCACCTATAACATGCCATAATCTGATTCTGAGCATTTTTCATGTTGAATATTTACATCATTCTTAGATGTATGTAGCTAGCCATTTCATTGGACAAATGTTGAAACAGGCACAGGGATGAATAGCATGCCTAACAGTGTTCTATAGAGATCGATAACCAAGCCTTACCTTTGCGTCTGTGATTTTCCTTCAGCTTCATGCTGCATCGTATGCTGCTGGATATTGAGCAGCACCTCGTAAGGCTAGTTTAGGATTTGCTGAACTTACTGAGAGGATTGTCATGCACCGGGAACACTTAGAATCTGCATCTGGTGAGTTTGGCAGGGGCCAAACTCCTTTTCCATGGAGGTTCCAGGGCTTCTCATGTTGCTGGTCTCAACTGTGGTTTAATACCAAGACTGGGCTTAGAAAATCAACAGACAGTTAATATTCTACATCTTTTGTCATTTACTCTGTGGAATCAAGTGAAAGAAATAGTACATATGTGTTATGTACATTATCTTACTTAAATTAATAATTAAATACTTTATAAACAAATAATTTTAAGGCAGGTTACGAAGTATAGCTGTATGCTAACTTATAAGCATTTCTAAAATTACTTCTGATTATGAAATTTTTATGTATCTTTCATAACAGTGATTTAGTTTTTATTATTTCTTTAAGCAAAAATAATCTATATAGTATAGACCCATTTGTAATTAATTTTTCTGAAAATTGGTCTTTGACCTAGTTCAACATTATCTGCCTTTTTCTACTGTGGGTACTCTGTTTCTACATATTTGACGTTTGGGTTTTTTGAGATTTAACATGAGATAATAAAGGAATTGTATCTTATGCCATTTTCATTTATAATGATATCACTAAGCAGAGCCTACAATTTTGTTCTTGTTACAAATGGCAGGGTTTTTAGCTAAATAACATTATATAACATTATAATAACATATAACAATATAATAACATTATTGTATATGAGATGGATGATATATTACGGTATGTAGGTCTGCCTATATGCCTATCACTATCCATCAGTATCTATAGACATTTATATGTATATATAGGTGTTTATATGCATCTATCAGTGGGCATATAAGTTATTTCCTGTTTACCATCATGAAAAAGCACAGTATACATGGAAGGCCAGAAATTTTTGCTATGTATTTCAGTTCTTTGGAAATATATCCAGTTAAAGGGCTTGTAGGGCTTGTTTTAATTGTTTGAAGACCTCCATACTGTTTTCCCTAATGGCTATACCAGTGTACATGCCCACCAATCTCCAACCCTCACCAGCCCTTACTGTGATCACTGTTTAGCTAACAGCTGTGGTTGCAAGCGTGTAGTGACTCCTTGTGGTTTTGATTTACATTTAACTTGTTGGTTTGTGCTTTGAGCACCTGTTCACATAGACATATTAGACAGTTTTTTAAATATTTTTTTTAAGTTGTGTCTTTGTGTAATGATATACATGTGTGAGGTGCCATGGAAGCAAGAGGCATCAGAGCTTCTGGAGCTGGAGTTCTAGGCAATGTGAGCCACCCAACATGGATGCTAAATGGTCTTCGGAAGGAGCAGCAAGTATTCTTAACTGCTGAGCCATCTCTTCAGTCTCTTGTTGGATATTTTTATTTTATCTTTGTAAAAATGTCTATTCTGTCATTTGTGTGGTGGGGGGCAAACGTTTTCTCCCAGTCAAGAGAAACTTTTTGCTTAATCTTCTCTACTGTGCAGAAGCTTTTTTTTTTAAAAAAAAAAAAAAAAAAAAAAAAAAAAAAAAAAAAAAAAACAAAAAACAAAAAACCTACAGCTATTTTTTTCCGAATTGGGGAAAGACCCAGTGAGGTCGGGCCTTGTGCATTCTCTCCTAGGCTTGTTTTGGTTTTGTTTTGTTTTGTTTTGTTTTGTTTTTTAGATTTTTATTTATTATGTATACAGTGTCCTGCCTGAATGTACACCTGCATGACAGAAGAGGGCACCAGAATTCATATTATATCATGGTTGTGAGCCACCATGTGGTTGCTGGGAATTGAACTCAGAACCTCTGGAAGAGAAGACAGTGCTCCTAACCTGAGCCATCTCTCTAGCCTGCAGAAGCATTTTAGTGTGATTTAGCCTTACTTGTTTATTTTATGTCTTCTGATTTAATTAGTTCATCTTTTCATAATTGGAGAAAGAGACAGAAACTGGCTGAGCCCTATAAAGTGAGAAACTCCATTCAGAAGTCCAATCTTATAAAATATTATATTTTGAAATATTTAAACTTCACATTAGTTACTTAGAGTTTCTCTTGTCATCTGTTAGACCTTAAATCTGTGTGTTACTTAGAAAAAAGGCAGGAAAATTATGTTGTTAGAGACTAAGAAAATAAAACAGCGGATTTTTGGGGTTTTTTGTTTTGTTTTTTTTTTTTACTGGTAATGGTTAGGAAAGTACGAAGGAGCAAGTATAAAAGAGGTAATTGAGTCTCCTACCCAGCCCCTCTTACCATTTTGACAATGAAGCACTTTTTTTTTCCCCTTGAATGTCTATTTCTGGCCCGACTACCAGCTCCCTGACTCCTTATCCTCAATACTCAGAATATGGTGCTCTTTTGATGCTTTATCAGAGAAAGCCTTTCTCTACCCTAAAGCACATTTGTTCATCTTTCTATCCACCACCACCACCTCCTCCTGCCACCATGGTTGGGTGTCCTGCCTTAGGCTTCATTCAGAGCTGCTGAGACCATAAGAACATATCACTACTTCTATCTTAGACCTTTTTAAAAAAAACTTATTCCTAAGTTTTTAATGAATCAATATAATGAAAAAGGGAAAGCCACTAGTTCTACTTTTTTTTTTTTTTTTTTTTTTTTCAAAAAGCACTCAAAGACTAAGACTTTAGGGGCAGAACTTGATATTGCTTAGTGCTTGATAGCATAGTTGCTCAATGAAACATGAATGGGTGAACAGTCTGTCAGAAGCTGTAGATGACTTGCAGAGAAAACATCATGCTTTTTGTAGGAATGAAAACTCAGAAGCTTGGAAATATTAATTTTAAAATCTACTTAAAGCTCAATAAGAAGGTAATAACATATTGAATTGCTGTGTCAAAAGCAGTTTTGGATGAAGATGTGGTTCATCAGGTAAAGATGCTGGCTGCTAAGACCGATGTGTTGAATTCAGTCCCTAGGGTCCACATAGTAGAAGGAAACAACCAACAGAATGAAAGTTGTCCTCTGACTTTCTGTTATGGTGCTCATGTATATGTACGTGTGTGTGTGTGTGTGTGTGTGTGTGTGTGTGTGTGTGTGTGTGCACTAAATATACAAATATAATAATTTTTAAAAGGAGCTATTTTCAGAGCCAGGGCTAGTTCAATTACCAGGTATTTTCCTATAATGTTTATGGCTTTGAATTCACTCCCCAGCACCTCTCCTTACCCACCCCCATCCAAAAGAAAAGCCAAACTTTTGCTACATTTTCTATCAAAAATCTTTTTTTTTTTTGTTATGTTGAATAGTAGCTAGTTTTTCATTGTAAATACAACTTGAGTACATTTTAAGTTTTTGTAGATCTGAAGAGAGGAGCAGGTAAACTTAATGACTATCATTTACCTTGTGTGCTAGCTAGGCCTTATATCTCTTAGGATTATCTAAAGCACATCAGGAGTTTTGTCAAGTCTAACAACTCACAGTTTAGAGAGATAATAAACCAAGTAAGAGCCTAAGCATTTAACCAGGACAAGGAGCCAAGCTTGCCCTTATCTGGTACTACTTTTAGACCTTTCTGTTACCTGTTCAGTACTTGGTTTCTGAAGTTTAATAAATAAAATGCCAATATTAAATGGAAGGGATTTACAACTTAGTTTGGAAGTAGTTACAGTTGAGGAATGTGCTTTATAGTTCCTTTTAATTACAATTGTTTACCCTTAATTGTTTTATTTATGTGTATGTTTTTGGGTGTTCACAGAGGTTAAAAGAGAGCATCCATGT